ACAGAAAAGTTAATATAAAATATAATATAAAAGATAGATTTGTATTTTAAACTAATTTTTTTAACTCCGAAATTTTTAAAAGTACAGATATCGATATCTGGAATACTGCAAGTAAGAGCCTCGTCAATTAAGATTTTTGCATAACTAAAATTAATAATAATATTAGTTAGTTTCTTAGTTGTATTTAAGCCGATTTTTATTATAACTGGTTTTAAGTTTCTAAGAGACTGGATATAACTAAAATTATATATTTATTCGGCTGTAAAGCGGTTGGAAACAATAATATTAGATATAATAATATTTATATTTATAATTACTTCGTCGGGTATAATCGGTGCGATAATAGATCTAAAATAAAAAAAATAGATATATATTTTATTATTAGATAGAAAAATAATAAAATAATTATTATAAATAATTAAATATTTTATAATTCTATTTTTTAACTTAATAAAATATATACTGTTGTTGCTTTCGGTATTATTTTCGGATTCCTGTACTTTATATACATTATAGTTAATTTCGGGTTTATTAGTTATATAATAAGGGATGTCTTCGTAGTAGTTAAATAGAAGATAATTATAGTTGGTATTATTATATTTTATAGTATAAATATAACTTATATTATAACTAACAGTATATATATAATCTATATAAAGACGGTTCTACAGTTACCGATTTTAAATATTTTTTATAGAATTTATTTAAGGCTAAAATATCTATACAAATTACTATAGTTGCTGTAAAAATTAACATAGCTACTGTTTATATAGTACAAATAATATATAATTTTAAAAGAAAATATACTAGTTATTATAGAAAGATTAGTTGATAAGCCTGCTATAAAATTAATATTAAGAATTTTTATATTAGAAACTTTTATAATAAAAGCAATTTTAACTATAATTCTAATTAAAATTCCAGTTGCTCTAATTATTTAAGTAATAATTTTACTAATTTTTATTTTTATTCTTTTTCTTTCTTGTATTTTTATTCTTTCTTTTTTTTCGTATTTTTTTTTTCGTATGTTACGCTTGGCAACTTTATTTTTCTATTAAAATATTTACTTCTCGAGGAAATACAAAAAGGCAGAAAAACTGGTATTTTTATAAAATCGAGAAATACTATTATATAGATCTAGATTTAAACAATTCTAAATTATAGAAAGATGCTTAAAAATATTAATAATACAGGCTGCTTTTACTTAAACTAGTACTTTTTAAGCAAATTTATTAATTAACCAATTATTACGGATGTTGTTGTAGATATATAATAATATATTAAGCTTTTAATAAGCTTCAAAAAAGTCTGGCTTAAAGCAATTATATAGTTCAGTAAACCAGCTATTTTTAAAATTATACTTTCGGATTATATATTTTTTTTTTAGTAATCTTAGTATAATATTATTACAGAGCAGCGTCTATAAGATAGATTTAAATATTAGCTTTAATTATAGCTTTTTTTTATAGTCTACAATATTACGAATATACTTAATAAAAAGATAAATATTTTTATAGTAGACTCTAGATTTTTTATCGAAATACTTGGTTGCACCGGCTACTGTAATATAATCGGAGTAATTAGATTAGAAATAACCGATCTTATCTATTTTTTACTAATAACTGTTATTATAAAGCATATTCGGCGGAGGTTTATAACTATTTTTTTTATTTCTTTAATCTTCTAAGAAGTATTGTAAACCATCTATATTAGAACTGTAGTTACTAGAATCGGGGTTTTAATTTTAGCAGCCGCGAAGACAAAAAACTTCTGTAAGATATTTTTCTATTTTTTATACTATATAATTATACTCTTTAGCAAAATGTTGGTTATTATCTTATTAACAGTTGTCTTTCTTACAGTAATATTCTTTATTATAGTATTTTTTATAGCGATAATAATATTTTTTATCTTTCTCGCGACGATCTTTTTTATTATATTAGTCTTAGTTTTTCTGTCTTAGCTAACTCTTATTCTAACGTTGTTCGACTATCTTAAAACAGATGTCGATATTAACAAACTGTATCTGTATTTTATAAATAGTATTTTAGATATCTTTAATACTATTTTAGACTTTTTTTATTTCTCGGAGCAGTTCGGCGAAGTCAGATTAAAAAAGTAAGAATAGGCCGAAGAAAAGACGTTTATTTTACTTATTTAAATTCTCCGCGGGTACTTATAAAGTAATATTATTACTATCGTCACCGGTAATACTAGTTCCAGCTATTATTTAATTTAAAGATTTATATAAAAGTATGCGTCGAATTATAGTTATTAGTACAGAGTCGGTTAGAAATTATAAAGATTTAGATAATTAAAAAAAACCTGGGATAGCAGACTTCTTAGCTGATATAGCAGTATTAATAGCGTCAGTAGCAGAAATATCCGATATAGTTAATAAAATAGATACTACTTTTAATTTTAATATAATTCGCCCAAGAAATTTTATAAATTGTAGTTTAGAATTAACAATACTATCGTAGAATTCGAGTTATATAATATATATAGATAGCTGGGGAAAAGATAAAAAGAACTTAAAAAACTTAATTATAATTTTATAGATATCTAACCGATGCAAGTCCCAGTTAACAGAGTAGGAAGTTAATGTACTTAAAAAGAATAGTAGTATATATTCGGTAATATATTCGGCTTAATAAAGAATGTTACTGTCAAGGTCTCCAGAAAAAAAAGTAAAAAAGTAGATATAAAAATAGTAGATATAGTAAATAAGCTCTGCGAGATATTTTTATATAGTTAACTTACTTGATTTAAATAATATTATCTGTTAGATAATATTAATATATTTATATTAATAACGATTATTTACAGGCAACCGGAAGTAGAAAAAGAAACGGTTCTATAGAATTTAATAAAATCGGTATAGTAAAGAAGAAGTTGCAGTAAAGTTGTTTATACGCAGTAAAAACGGCAGACGAGTTGAAAACAGAGTTAAATATAATACCTATTTTTTAAAATATAGCAGTCGTGTTTCTCGGTACGGTAGAAGACGCGAGAAACAAATAAATAGTTTTTATTAAAAATAATATAAATAAAATTATGGTTTTAGGTCTTTGTAGAAATAGAACAAGCAGTTTAGTAAAAAATTAATACAAACAAAATAAACAAATCGATACTAACAAAATTAACAATATAATAAAGAACGAAATAAATAAGCAAGTAAAAAATAAAATACAATATAAGATGGAAATTAATACTAAAATCAGAAAGAAGTATAACGCAACATAGATTATAAACAATAATATAGAGTATATCAACAAGCTCGATATTGTATATATCAACGAGCTCGATATATTAAAAATTATTAGTTAGTTTTAGAAAGCAGACTCCTAGTCTGTAACAGATATACTACTATTATAACAGTAGTCATGATATAGAGAAAAATAATTATTATATTATTATTAATTACTAGCTATACTGAATATAAATATAACTATTCTATTGGCGGTGTATTAAGCGGTAACATTCTGCCGTCCTCTACGATATCCCCAGCATCGCCCGTTACAATAATATAAAATATTATTAACTTAAAAAGTATTTTATTTTAATTATTAAAAATTATATAAAAAAGTAATATTAACTATTTATTTTTAATAAATATAATAGTTATTGAATATCTTAATTTAATAAGTTATATAGTTAGTATTATATTATATACTAATTAAAATTAAATTATATTTATTAATTATTTATATTATAAAACTTAATTTTTTTAAAGTTTTTTCTACAGTCCGCTGTAATACTTTAAAAAAATTAAATATATATAATAATTTTAAAATTATAAGAATTAAATTATTTAATCTAAGCTAAATAATTAATTATATATAAATTTATATAAAAATATCTACTCCAGCCAGTTCTTTAGCTTTATTATTAATATTAAAAATACGAATAAATATATCTAATTTATAGAGATATTAATTAGTAATTAAAAAAATATTTAAAAAATATTTTACTATATTATTTATAATAATAAAAACTATTTTAAACTATATATTTAAAAATTTTGAAATTATATTTAACCGAAGCTATCTTCTTAAATATAAAGTTAGCCAGCTATATACTAAGAATAAAAAATATTTTTAATATAAAAAATAAAATAATTAAGAATTTTTAGATTTATAAAAAATAATATTAGATAAAATTTTATAAATATTTAAAAAACTTGATTAGCTGGCTTTTAAATAGTTTTTTTTATATAAACAAATATCTTCTTACTGCGGTTCATATAGAATTCTAGATTATATATATATAAAATATTTTAATTAGACAACTTCCAGTTAAATCTTAATATTATAGTTTTATAGATTTTTTATATATAGTTTATAAAATTAAATATATATAGCTTTATACTTAGTAATAGTAGTTAATAATAAACAGCGGTAGTAGTAGTAATCCGCCCGCTTATATGATCTGTTTGCTTACCGATTATGTTACCGAGTAGTACGGTTATGTTACTCTCATGCTTGTGAGGCCGCTAGACGGGTGTATTGGAGAAAGAATCATCCGTGGCCCGGATGCACTATAACTAGGAGTATCGGTGGGATGAGGTAGCAAAAAGCTGGAGCTGCGGGGAATCGAACCCCGGACCTCTCCCATGCTAAGGGAATATTATACCACTAAACCACAGCCCCTTCTATAGTTAATCCTTTCTTACTTAACATTGTGTTGCAAAAAATACTTAAAACGAGATACATCCCCCCCCTTTCGCGGTACAAACATGGGCTTTGACTTCCGCGAACAGCGTGGGCTTGGAGAGAAACGAGAAATCTAAGAAGTAGCCTCTCCATTATCGACGCGCTTTCTCTACAGGCGTCATAGGCAACAGGCGGTCGAGGCAAGTGAGAAACCCGAGGCTCAAATCAATGGCATACCATGCTTTTCATCATCCTCGGGCTCGATTTGCCCAGGACTGCACATGAATGCCTAAATATGCACACACGGGATAATGCAAGGTTCATTTAAATGGGCAATACAGCCGTCTTTTATTGGGCGCATGCTATAGAGCATTGAATGGCAACTAGAAATCCATGATGGGTAACGTTTTTTTCTGAAAAGACCCGAGTCGATCAAATGCCGGCCACCAGGCATGGTCTCGATCAACGAGCCAACGATGCTGCAAGTGCTGCCCTGTTTTTCGGCACAAATCTAACTCTGTACCTTTTGGGTATCGCCACAAGGCTAGTGGGGTCCGAGTTGCCTCTCACAGGATGCCAGTCGACCTCATCAACCGGCTCGATTCTGAAGCTATTCAAGGTGCGCATGAAAACCAGATATAGCTCCCGATTCGCAAGGAGAGAGCCCGCACACATACGGTAGCCCATACCATATGTGAACATTGGGGCATCTGGTTGCTCCAACCACCGCTCGGGTCGAAAGTTCTCGGGGTCTTTCCAGACTTCGGGGTCTAATTGAAGTTCCATGAAATTAGCCTCTGCCACAGTGCAAACTTAGTTATGCGCAGCCACTGACCCATGTTGCAAGCCCAGGAGTTCAAGAAGAAGACGGTACCCTTTGGAATGACTGTTTTCTTATAAGTTATGTCCCGGATGGATGTTCGAGGAAGTGCAAGCCGGAGGACGGTGAAGTATCTGCATGCGAAAATGATAGTCAGGAGTGTGTATGTCGAGGCCAGGGATGTCCTGTAAATTACCTTAGGCATTCCCTCACAAGAGCAGCGACATAAGCGCATTTCTGATCGTCTCTCGAATCACAAAGCGGCATGTCCTGATCATACAGTTCCTGGATGGCTTTCGCGGCCTTGTCCTGGATATCCGGTCGTTGCGAAAGGAGGCAAAGACTCCATGCCACCAACGTGGTTATAGTATCGAGACCCCCTGATAGCATTGTTAAGCTGATTGAGATGAGCTCATCTGCATCGAGCTTTGCTTCCTTATCGAGGATGACATTCGCCTGTATACAAGAATTGTGTATACCTTTCCTCATTCGCTCATCCAGGTCCCGGTTCAATGCGTTGAGATACCTGTCTCGGCGATCTCTCATTTCCTTAGCCTTTCTAGAGTTCCCACTGAAAGGATTCAACCGCAGAAGAGGGATGTAGTCCTGTAAGTTACCCGTCGTGCTCCTGAACTTGCTGATTTCCTCCTCAACATGAGTGATTTCATCGAACAAGTCTTCCTCCTGGGATGCCACGCGCACTCCCCAGTTAAGGGTCAAGGATAGGCTCAGGCTCAATCGTTGAATCATTGCCATGGGATCTACTGGTGTGTTCCCACTGTTTCCGTAACGGTTGAGCTCTTCGATGAAGGCTTTGGATTCCACGTCCAAGTGAGAGACGTAGGATTCCACAGAAGGACGATTTAGCGCCGAGGCTGCACCTTTGCGGCGCCTTTTCAATGACTCGCTATAAGGAGAAGTGCCGATAGTTGTGCCTGCTGTATCCGAAACGATCTATACTAACATGTTAAGCCTGTCCAGTGCAGGAGAGCTAACGAAAACCAGAGAGGGCTGGAGAAGGGGAAGCAGACGGACCCACCTTGTGAAAGGTATAGAACTCTGGTCTTGAGCTCAAGGCCTGTGCATTTTGCCCGAAAATAGTTTTCGCAGCCGCGGCTGAGTTTACAACAACCACGGGAATGTTTCCCAGCTGAATCTGATAGACTGGTCCATATGTTCTAGACCAGATGCGATATTGCTCTGCAGCGTTCTTCCGGATCTGAGCGAGGTTTCCGATAAGTGGTAAGCCACGGGGACCCTTGAGTCCAGGCACTCTTGCAGACGCTCGAGTGAGCTCGTTCAGGATGATATAGATGATAGGGATCGTGAGGATCAACACTGTCAGCGCCCGCAAAGGCGACTGGATAATGCTGTCCAGAAGAGATAATAGGGCTGCTGCAATAGCCATGATGATCAAAGATTGATGTAATCAATCCTCACTGTCGGAATGGTTGAAGGGATGAAGATTCGACTCAGCTGATGGATTTCGGATCTATTATAACATAGCTGCGCATTGATGGTATTCCACGTGATACTTCCTGCAGTGCCGTCCTCTTCTTCTGGCGAGGAATGTTTCCGTTGTACAGGCGTGCCTACAAAAAAACCAAGGCCAAATCCCTGTGCCAGAGGCTATGGAAGATTTACCCCAGACCGAGAAAAGCCGGGGTAGATCAGCCTAGGGAACTAACAATCGAGTGGCCCAGATTCCGCACTCGGAAACTTTCCGCCCATCCCCAGTGCACATCACTTTGATTTTGCGGGGTTGGGACTTTCTTGCAGTATCGGCAGCTGCCAGTCTGCCACAGACTTTGGCCAAGGCAGACGAGTGACACATAGCACGCGTAGTGAATGGAGATAACGAGATGGGGAGGTGTAGTTTGCCCGGCTGATCGGCAGACGATTCCGAATGAATGAGTGTTATTCCATGATATCATGAGTAGCATGACTCCCGATGTCCATAACATGTGCACGATGAGCCAGCATAATTGCATTCTTCAGATGGGAAAGCACACCCTCCCCTAATCGATCATTGTCACAGATACAAGTCCACCTCACTGAGAATGCGAATACACATCTAGGCTGGCCATAGCCGGACCTCAAGATTCGGAACCTTGCCGCACGAGTTACAGATGGTCATTAATAGGTTGGTAACAAGACTTCAGCCCGCACAGTAACTATAAAGTTCCGGGCTACCGAGGGCTTTGCTCTTAGCGAAGCTTGTACCCCTGGTTGAATACTTATACGTAGAATATTCCTACCTACTAGGTACTGGTATTTATAGTACATCATCTCTGTGATAGGAAGGCTGCCGATTGGAGGATTTCCACATATCGGTTGGACCCGGTCGCCAGGGCAGGTACAAAGCCGAAGGCCATAGATCCTATTTGCGTTGCTTGCGGTGTCTTAATAGTCTGAACGTGAAGATTTCGTCCTTCCAGTTCGGCAGGTAGCGAGCCTACTGTTTACTGAAATCGGCTGTGCAGGAGGTCTAGGTGAGTAGGTAGGGCTGAAATACCTCCAAGTAACATCCCCGAGGTGACTAACCGAGTGGGTAGCAGGGGGTTCTCCGAAAAAGGTGAGTTGTTCTTAATGGTTGGCCGAAGTTCATCTTCAAAAGACAGAGCAGCATTCAAGCAAGATTTGTGGAGGAGAGACTGACGTCAAAAGTCAAACACCAGCGACCCAGGAACCGACCGTTCACTTGAGAGTGGGGTATTACGCCATTCCGTTCTGTCTACCCTGGAGGCCCCAACAATACGGAGTACTGTACCTTTACCCACCTTCCAGGGTCTGGGTTGGACAAGTGGAGCAGAGAGACATCATCAACCAGAGTATCAGACTAGTTAAACGCACCAAGAGTTTTTGAACCTTCCGACTGAGATTTGGGGTGCTCGGTTTTTTTTTTTTTCTTTTTCTTTTTTGTTCTTTTTTTTGTTCTTTTTCTTGGTAGCTAGGACCAGAAAGCGGACGGAAGAGACACCGTAGCAATGGATAGATAGCGTATAACAAGTATGGTGGCGATCTGCTGCATGATAATTAGTAGCCATAACGATGATGGTTGGAGTACTATACTCAGGAAGTATGCACATAGTAGTACGGAGTACTCCGTACATATATGTACTCAGTTGTGAGTAGTTGGTCGGGAAAATCATACATCTTATAGCCCTGCCCGATGGGAAGAGCCTCGCTATAAATAAATCCCTATCGATAGGGGGCTTAGCAGTTAGAACTTAGACTACTCCGTACCTACTCATCAGACATACACCTAGTACTAAACTTATTAGTACTCCGTACGCATACATGTAAATTTATTGAGAGACTAGACTAATTAATCAATAATTCTCCATAGTCCTGTTCGGCAATGCTTTGGACCGGGCTGGGCCCCTCCCGGAGAAGGGAGTCAGTCCTTCATAGAAATCAGAGATATAATGTCTAAGGTATCTATCTATCTATTGAGGGAAGCTTGGACGAGGGAAGGGGAAAGGGGGGGTGGGGGGGGAAGAACGGATTGGGGAAAAGATTGGGATGTTCCGAACTAGCGGGAAATCTTTGCTGGTCACATGCGGGCACGGTGTCCAGCTTCGACAGCCAAATCATCGCCCAGACTCATCCACTGCCGGAGCTGCCGAGGCATTGATTGGTGGGACAATGCTGATTGACGCCGCGACGCCGTCATCGTGACCCGCCCCCATTCTCCCTCCAATTCCCTTCCCGGATTCTGTCTGTCGCAAAAGAGGCAGAGCTCATGACGCACTGCTGCTACCAACCAACCTACTGCTATTACTGCTTTCTGGTCGGAGAAAAAAAAAGGATTAGGTGGACAGACCGGAAGGTTAGCCGGTTATTGAGAGCTGATCATTCACACTGACACGGGTACACTTTCAAGTACGGAGTACCGTAGTGCGCCCTATCCTTCATTCCTCCCTCTCCAACATAATTGCTATAGTACTAAAGTGGACCATTGGCCCGGCATTCGGATTGTTCTTAAACATTTTTCTGTATCATTCTCTTCCTCCTGTTCATCCTGTCTCTCCTCTTCCTTTTCTCCTCCTCTTCCCATCCCTCTCATCTTCCTTTCCCTCCCCACCCAAACCCCTCCCATCTCCCCTTCCTCTCCCAGATTCTCCCGTACCCTCCACATACACAATTGACTCGCAACTTTCCGCCTCTTGAACCTCTTACTTCACGAATCTTGCCCTCGAATTCTAGGTAAGTTATCATCGATTCAATGGCTTGGTTGGAATTACCAGCATGCTCCGTTTTCTCTCTCTCTCTCTCTCCTGAGTCTGACCGGCAAAGAGCCATTGGATAATATAGCATCTATCTATATATATCTTATATTTAACAACAGCCATCCGCCCATTCTCCTCCCAATCAGCTGTTTAAATCCAGCACTGTCCTCGATAATAGAGCGTCAACGAGGACCTCTATAAAATTCCAAGTGCCTAGTGTCTCATTTCACATACCATGGCCTCCCGTCATTCGCGGAAATTCCTGCGACCGCTGCTCTATACGTCACTCGCCACGGCTGCGGGTGCTGGTGTGCTCTACATTTCTTACCGCCCTCGCAATATCCCTGGTTCCGAGGCCCCTGCTGTCCCGCCCCCGGGTTATCACGAAGGCCGCCTGGTGCCGCCTAGTTTTCCCCGCATCAAATCTAGATTGGAGCAGATTGAGGATCTCAAGCGTTCTGCAAAGGGAGATGCATCAGAGGAATATGATCTGCTCGTCATTGGCGGTGGCGCCACTGGCTCAGGAATCGCTCTTGATGCTGCGACTCGAGGATTGAAGGTCGCCATCGTCGAACGCGATGATTTCAGCTCTGGAACCAGCAGCAAGAGTACAAAACTTGTACATGGTGGTGTGCGGTACCTGGAAAAGGCAGTATGGGAATTGGATTATAACCAGTCAGTCGAACCAAACTACTTCCCTGCTTCCGATGAGAGATCTGACAGGTCCCTATTTTAGGTACGCGCTCGTGAGGGAAGCCTTGCGGGAGCGGAAGTACTTCCTGAACACTGCCCCTCATCTTTCCAGCTGGCTTCCGATCATGGTTCCGGTGCAGAAGTGGTGGCAAGCACCCTATTTCTGGGTAGGCACTAAATTTTACGACTTTCTGGCTGGCTCAGAAGGTATTGAGAGCTCCTACTTCCTGACCAAGAGTAAAGCCATCGATGCTTTCCCGATGCTTAGGAAGGATAACCTGATTGGCGCTATGGTCTACTACGGTATGTATCTTCCGTCACGAGGCTAGCAGCCGCTCCGCATCTTAGTATAAGCTCTAATGATTTACGTGGGTAGACGGTGCTCACAATGACTCGAGAATGAACGTTTCCCTTGCAATGACAGCTGCATTGTACGGCGCCACTGTCGTCAATCACATGCAGGTTACCGGCTTGACCAAAGACTCATCTGGCAAGTTAACCGGGGCCCGCCTCAAGGACGTAATACAGGGCAGAAATGGCCAGGAGGAGGAAGAGTTCACCATCAAAGCGAAGGGTATCATCAATGCGACCGGGCCCTTTACTGACTCAATCAGAAAGATGGACGAGCCTGATGTGAAGGAAATTGTGGCACCGAGCTCAGGTGTCCATGTCATTCTACCTGGTTACTATAGTCCGTCAGACATGGGACTGATTGATCCGTCGACATCCGACGGCCGAGTTATCTTCTTCCTGCCTTGGCAGGGAAACACAATTGCTGGCACCACAGATCAACCCACTGAAATCACTACCCAGCCAGAGCCCTCCGAGAAAGACATAAACTGGATCCTCACCGAAGTTCGTCGGTACTTGGCCCCTGACATCAACGTTGAGCGAAGTGATGTGCTCGCCGCCTGGTCCGGCATCCGTCCTTTAGTACGCGATCCTAAGGTCAAGAGTTCTGAGGCTTTGGTTCGTAACCACCTCATCTCAGTCTCCCCATCTGGGTTGTTGACTTGCGCCGGTGGCAAATGGACCACCTATCGGCAAATGGCCGAAGAGGCAGTTGACGAGGCCGTCAACGTCTTTGGCCTGAAGCCCCGAGAAGTATCCGACGCTCCCGATATTAGCGGTGTTGGTGGAAGCGGGCTAGTCGCTGACGGCGCTGTTCTTGATGGCTCTTGTCAGACGCATCAGGTCCGTTTGATTGGTGCCCATGGCTACTCAAAGACCCTTTTCATTAACCTCATCCAACATTATGGGCTCGAGACGGATGTCGCGCAGCATTTAACACAATCATACGGTGATCGAGCTTGGCAGGTTGCGGCTTTGTCTTCGCCGACTAATGCTCGTTTCCCCGTTCGAGGCCAGCGCATCTCGACCCTCTATCCTTTCATCGATGGCGAGGTTCGTTATGCTGTTCGCCACGAGTACGCGCAAACTGCTGTTGATGTTCTCGCACGCCGAACCCGCCTAGCATTCCTCAATGCCGAAGCAGCGCTTGAAGCCCTGCCGAGTGTCATTGATCTGATGGGAGAAGAGTTGAACTGGGATAGTGGCCGGAAGGACGTCGAGTGGAAGGAGAGTGTCCGCTTCTTGTCCTCGATGGGCCTCCCCAAGACCTTCCTCAGTTTGAGTAGAGCGGATGTTGAAGCCGGCAAGGTCAAACAGGTCGATATTGCGCAACGAGCGGCGTTTGCTAGGACAGGTAAGTGACCGAAAACACTGATAATGGCGAGACTGGGGCTAATGTGTTCTTTCTGTGCAGATCCACCAGCGGATGTGCTTGCCAACGACACCCGTTCATCTGACTCCAACAAACTGATCCAACCTGATTCCCCGGCCAACAAATAGAGCAGTCACGCGCCATAGAGCTATTTTGTATAAATAATTGGAAGTGTATACTTGGCACGTTATGTCATCTGGATATCCGACAATGTCGTCTAGATTGTCCCTTCTGGAAAAATTTCAAGCCCTGGGTTTGTGTGTTGTTTGGACTTACCAGCATATGGAGGTGGGTTTTACTTCATGGTGTAGATGGCATGTAGGTGCTGGACCTTCATCTAAAGGAATGTGTAACGAATATTCCTTCTCTCTGCTCATGGCGAGGATGCAACAAGGTGCAATGCCCGCGACGAAATGGAAGGAAGCAAGAAGACAATCAACTTCAGGACGGATCAATCGTCGCCTGTACGTCGTGCACTGGCATCATGTCGCCTGCACCTACAGCCTAGTGACGTCTGCTTACCCTTTGCCGATGAGCTTGTCCACTGCTTGAAGGGTGGAAAATCGGGCTGGCTTGCAAAAATGGTCTTTGAGGGCACAACGTGCTCTCTGGAAAGCCAATTGAATGCCGCAGGCCTGGCCTCTGTTGCTGTTACCTTATTCATGTTAACCGTAAGCCGTCGAAGCAGGGAGGGGCCTTGTGGTACCGAATTTATTCTTTCCCGCCTTCCGATGCGAAGATGTGGGCGGAGGAATGCATTCGTACCATGTTTATGGATTGTAGCCTCCATCATGACACCATGGGCACATACTGCAGCAATTTTGGTCTCGCTTGAGATGAAACATAAGGGACATCCGTGCATCACTCGTATGTATTCCGCGATTTGTGCATATAGCTTTCCCATACGGAACAGTGATCTGGGGAATGATACGATCGAGCCTAAAGTATAACAGACTTCTCAGATAATCAGTCCTTCGTGTCCTCTGCCTGTGACCAAGAATATATTGAAATATGCAGAACATAACTCTGGTTTATATGACACCAAGTATGCAGCGTAATAAAGTACAGCAAGAGCGGTACCAGCCATAATTAGAAAAATACATCGATTGTCCTGAGATAATCGGGAAAGGTAGAGGGGAAGAAGAGAACATGATTATTATGTCAAAACAGGCGCATAAAAAATGTATCAATCGATGTCATGTTTCAAGTTGTGCGCAGCACACCATAAAGAAAAAAGGGAACCCCACAACGCGCGGGGCCGCGCGACAAGGGAGAAGTAAGACCCGAAGATTTCTAATTGATGATCGAGAACACGGAGCGATGGATTTCGAGCGCCCGGAGGTGAGAAAGAGCATATCCGAGCACCCGAAACAAGTCTCCGCGACCAAGGTCACACATGCAGGTAGAGAAGGAGGCGCTCGGTTTGGGTTCAAGGCAGACTGGCTATACCCGAGAACCGGCTTGCCCACTCATGTTGGTTGGAGACTCCGCTCAATAAATGTGAGTGAATGTCGGGTTACGCGAACTCGGCGTCCGCCGGGGTGGCTTCGAGAAGTCACCATCCGTCCCCTCGCTTCGTTTTCATGTTCGCTCAAGGGTCAAGGGACAACGACACCGGATAGAGGACTCTCCCGTAAGCCATTTGGCTGGTTTCCCATCGAGTTCTTTTTCTTCAAATTTCCTTCCCTGACCACGGGAGTCTCATTGCCGGAGGGCCGTGGGTGAAGTAACAACCCTCGAAGTCCTATTCGGATGTTTGAGACCTGGGCTTGTTTGAGGTCCTCTTGTCCAAAAGCGTCCGATTCTGAATGTATCGATCATGCCACCCTTAATTGGGCGGGGAGAATCGATTGCGATGCATCCTCAGTAAGAATACGGTTGCAGCCGGTAAGAGACCAAAGTCAAAAGAGAACACAATGCGCAACACACTTATGTCTTGCTCTCTGCCGCGTTTGGGTCGCCCTTATAATGATCCCAGAACCGTGCGACGGTCCGTTGTGCGACGTTGTTGCCCTTGTACCGATATATGAAGTAGTTGAATAGGGCAAACTCGTCGCGATCGAGTACATAATCCTTCTGCGTGTTTATCTTGTCCCATAAGCTTGCAATGGCTGCCTCCAGGGTATCATTCGTTGCCTTATCGGTATGACCGTCCCGGCCACGCTCCAGGGCCTGCCGCACCTCAGAAGACGACGCTGAAACCGCCATTGGCAACCGAGAGAGAAATGCTCCTAGTTTAAGATAGTTGTTCGGCTCGAAAACACTGGGAGAAGGGAGAATAAAGATAGCGAATGTGGATGTGAGTGGTGCAGGCTCGGAGCATGAGCGGCGCGCAAATTGAATTTGGAGGGAGACAGGGAATAGAAATAAGTTCTTGGGCCCTTGAACGACAGAGAAGGGAAAATTTTTTCCTGAACGGACACGACTGTCTTTGGCAAGCTCCGACCCTCTCAATTTAACAAAGCAGGTGGAGCAGG